AAATGTAAATTCGACAGATTTTTGCAGAAAATGAAACTTCGGTTTTAGTAAGTGCCTGTTTATTAGTGCTGTATTCAAGTATATGTGTTGTCTCTTCTTATAATTAAAACATATATTTATTGTAAAAAAAACATTTTTGCAAAAGAGGCATCTTGATGAAAGGATCGTTCTATTTTCTCGGAGTTATAAAATTGTGAATAAATAGTGTCAAAATCATTATATATTTAATAAAATATTTTTATTGCATTTCTTTTAAAAGAAAATACTCGACATACCTCTTATATCATTTTTCCGAGCATATATAAAAATGATCCCATTTCAGTCGTGCAAATAATTATATTTTTGGAATAAATCAATATAACATTTGTTTTCTTAAAGAGTTCACGTTTTCTTCTTTTCAAAACACTACTTATTTTTATCTGTATCTTTTTTTTATCATAAAGATATGATTTTTGAAGAACAATTGATTATTGCACTTTTTTCATAAATTATTCTTTAACATTTTTTAGTATAACTTTTTCAATTATTACTAAAACCTTTTTATGTTTTGATATCCCGATTCTATACCTACATATATTCTGGCATTTCATTAAAAAAAAAAAAAGAAATTAATTATGCACTATAGAGGATTATTCTCTAATGACCTTGACATATGTTATCAAGGTCATGACCTCGAGTCACCTTGGACAAATTTTAGCCGTTGCACATGATCTTAACAACATATGTCAAAGTCAAAGTTATTGGAGAGTAGTCCCTCATACTACATAATTACCAAAAAGAAAATATTTTCCGTTGTAATAATTACAGAACCAGTCAAAAATGTCGTGGATGACTTAGACCTAGACATGTAAATTAAGACTTTAAAACGAGATGTGTAGCTGGCAGTTAAAGGATATATTACAAGCTTTACATGTACTACTAAAAAAAATGTGATTTGTCTTTTTCTGTTTATTTTATTTGTACAATACTTAGCTAATCAACCTACTGTTACTATAACAAATGAACTGCAGTCTTTGCGTTTTCAACGCTATAAATTACTGCATTCTTGAGAGAAAAGTTAAAGAAAGTTACAAGTAAACATTCCATTTCCCTCGAGCACTTCTTTATTCCAAGTCGACAACGTATCGCTCCAGCTTCCGTTTGTTGCCATTTGAAGCAAGGAAGAGCTCGGGACTGAGTAAGCTCTAGTCGCGTCACCGGCAAAGGGCCAAGGTACGAGCGGCTATCTTTTGAGCGACTGGAACGACTGAGATGAGAATGCGAGACGATCGAGGGCCGCGCGTGAAAAATAAGTTGTGCCGGAGAACAATTAAGGAAATGATAGCCGTAAATTTCGGCGGATCGCGACCATGTTTTAAGGGCGTCTTTTCGCGAGAACGACGAAATTGCTTCCATCAATCCGACTCGGGACAAATTAAGGGAGAATCGACAAGCCTGTTCAATAAACAAGAGCATACTCTCCCTTTTAGCTACATTTTTGTTGTAAAGTGACGTTAATGAGTTTTAAAAATATTCAAGATCTGTTGTGAAAACAAAAAAACATATTTTGAAAAACCTACGTTTTTAACAGATTTAATAAAGTAAAGAATAATGTTTTTTTTTATAATAAAATACTGTGTTTCTTTCTAAATATGTTTTTAATACTTCAAACATGCTTTAAATAGTATTATAAAAAAATATGATTAAAAACCTCGATTAAGCAACTTTTAAAGCAGTTTAAAGCATGTTTGAAATATGTTTTCATACGTGAATAATAGAAAAATATATAAATATTTTAAACAGTAAAAATTCTTTGGAAAGAAAATAGACATTTTTTTAATTAAAAATATTTCTAGCACTCATAACACAGTTATACAAAAATAGATCTTGTTTGGAGAATTGAATAAACGAAGTGTTTTCCGATGGACTTTTGTTTACTAAAAACGAATCCGGTCGCAGAATTGGCCTAATTAATACCAGGTTTTCAACAAAATTGAGGTTAAATACAATACAAACTCATAATTCATATATTTGTGGCTTGTTTCTATACAAAATTAGCTAAAAACGAATTATACAAATGCGAAAATAAAATTTTTACGATTTTCTTTTGCAATTGCGTAGTTTAAATAGTGACTATATTATTGATAATTACTTATAATTATTGATAATATTATATTATTTTACATGTTTGTCGTTTCCTTAAATCAGTTTTATTTATATTTTTTTTCGTATTTTTTCATAATGTGGTTTTAAATATAAAATCGGGGTGCAGCGTAAACTGGCATACCTGTTGTAAGATAGACCTGATAAACCATAAGTTAACTTTATATAAAACTATTGCATTACACTGTTTGCGTCTTGCAAAAAAAAGAACAGTATAAAATATGTACATAAATTCTTTTTCGTCAGTTAAGATGGTATATACATGTGTGAACGAAAAACGTTTTATATAAAAGTGAAAAAGTTTTAGGAAAATCTTATATACATTTACTTGTAAGCATTTTGTACAGATAACCAGTGAAAGAAAAAGAAATAAATTTGTGGCATTACATCTACTATGTCAGCTCATTTTGGAGCCCATTTTATCAGACGTTCATTGCTTATTTTACGGAAAACTTAATTATGCCAAAACGAATATTATAAAAACTGTTATATTATTATACCTGATAGATGACATTTTCTAGTCGTATTTATGTTCCTAAAGTTTTATTTTTAGTTTTCGTTTAGGAAACATTATCTTAAAATAAAATAGTATCGATGACCTTCCTCTCAGTTATTAAAGAATTTATTAGCCTTTTCTTTATATTTAATAAAAATTTTAAATGGGGGGAAAATGCAATTAGTCATTGTCCTTTCGCTCTTTGCGTACGAATTTCCAAGATTTGAATAATACTTGCAAACTCAAAGGTCTGGTTTTTTTGTCCTTTAAAAAAGTTCTTTGAATTAAATACAAATTACAAATCCATTAAGAAGCAATTCAACAGCATGCTTCGATAATGCTCTTTTTTATTAACAAAATCTTATTTTCAAGAGGGATGATGGCGTAATAAACGGCAACGTCAATGTCTCTGGTCTAGCCTAATTGTCTTTTAAATGTTTCGTCATGAAACGAACATTAGCCAGCGTGGGGTTGATAACAGGTTCTCGCTGTATCGCTTCCTTAAGAATTCCGACTTGGTGCCACTAATTAACAGTGCAGAGGCCGGGTGTAATTTATGCGCGGGGCTCGTTACCAAACAGGTGGTGCTCGGTGGCTAATGACTTGGAGATACCAATAATTCATTGATTAATGCCGTGCGCTGAATTTGCAAGTCCAGTTATCTCGTATTTTCCGCACCCCAATAATAATTATCAAACACTCAAGCTTTCGATTGTAGTTCATTCACTCACATTTTGCATTGGAAAATAATAATTAAGATTTATACTTCTATTGCGTTCGTGGAAATGCTATTAGCGTTCTATCATTCTATCTTTGTTGTTTATTAGACATAAAACAAGGATAGAATGACACCTTATTTAATGCAACTGTTCTTACCAATTTGGTATTTTTCTTTCTTTTATTTCGTATTCTTTGAACGATCTTTATTGCATTTTTATTAACAGATATGACAGATATGCAGTTATAACATTTTTTATAACTTTTTAAATTTCAATATTTGACATTATTTTAACTCAAGCTTTTAATTATAATTCCGTGAATTGAAAAGCTATATTAATTAAAAAAGAATTATATTTGTGTTATATCAAAAATAACAATATAAAGTAAGTTTTCTCCAGAAGTTTTTCATTAAAAATGCACTAATATGAAAAAGCAAAAGTTTACATATTAATTTTTGTCGCAGCCTATCATAAAATCATGTTGTAGATTTATTAAATCTCATCCGCGATCGCACAGACAAGTAACCGCTGAACATTACGAAGTCTTTAAAGTGGACTGGATGAAACAGCGTATAATTAGATAAGGTGTAAGACGTATTTGGAGCGCGGCCATGCTGGCCCGTCGCCAGTGTTCAGCTTTTCGCTATAAACCTACGAAAAGGGTCAAGGGGGTGTCCCTGGTGAAGAGAAGCGAGGAAGCTCTACATTGGTTACATCGGTCGCATTGATCGTATGGCACGTGTGCGATTGGATAATTTCTCAGCCAACTAAAAAGTAAAAAAGGAAAGAGACACTGGGTACAATTTTTTTTTCTTTTTGTTGTTCACTATGTAAAAAAAGATATCAGTGTTCTAATTTCTGGCTCTGTTTGATAATTAAACATCATAGTCTATAGATTTGTTTTTATAACGTATGGATCGTTTTTATGATACTTTTATTTGAATTTGTTTCATGTTAATAACGGTGTTATTTTTCTGGTAAAAAAATTGGCTAGAATAAGGATAAAGAACAGTTATTTTGATTTATTAATAGTTGTAACTTTAATTTAATTATTATTGGTTTTTTTTATTTTTATTGTACATTATATAAAACTATTATATAATTTTATTACCATCTATTTACTTAACGGAAAACGGTCGTTGAGCAAACTCGTCATAGCAGGTGCACAATGTGTAGAATTAGCTACCATCAAAGCTAGGTTGTATTAAGCTAAAGCTTTACTTTGGACGCACGCACCACGTTTATCAGGCTACGAGGATTACGCTCCGAAGTGTCGACTCGTGTTGTTATCTACTAATTCCAATTAGCGTCAGTGATCTTCTGTGTTACCTTCAGCTCTAACTTTGGTTGACATATGTCTATGCGAAGGGATAATTTGGATTTCCGTCGCGATGTCACATTATGCCTGACATATATTTGCATTAAAAAAAAAACACTTTTATAAAAAAAGGCGAATACGTATTGCGATGAAAATAATGCTTTTTTGAACGAGAATGATATAATTATATATTTTATACTATGATAAGAGAAATATAACATTGAAATATATCTGTATTTTAATAGTTTTTTTATATGATGTTGAAAACACTTATATAATAATTTCCTATTGTGCCAAAACTAATCAAGTGGTTTTATTATTTTAGAGAGCCTCAGGGAGTATTTCACCAAGTACGGAGACATCACAGAGGTTATGGTTATGAAAGATCCCACCACACGACGATCAAGGTAAGTAATGTAAGATATGCATGCATATTGTATATAGCAGGACTAAATTACCTTATTTTTTTTTTATTAATTTTGATGGATTTTTTATTATTTCTATTTTTTGATTGTTTCTAAAAATTGAAAGATTTATATATTTCTTACAAATATTGATTTGATCTATCTATGAACATCTGTTAGAAAATATATATCAGGTACATCTTCACATATGAATAATCTGGTATACATTCAAATGTACTCGTAAAATTTCATAATGTCACAGCCACGTGTCACTCTTCCGGAAATTTTCATTATATTTCATTATTCTTTATTTTGGTTACTAAACGCCGAAAACGTGAATATGGTTGACATGCGAAGGCTTTGCTAAAAAGTATACTGATCGATAGGCTATGGACCTGATTTATTTATTTTTCTTGTTTTATTCACATAGGAAATGAAAGAAAATTATAACAAATAATATTTATAGCAGGGAAACTTATAACTATCAAAATTAATAATATTTCTAAGGTATAATGAGATAATCTTAAAAGAGAGTGATGTAGATTATTTTTAATAATATGATAACAGTTATGATGCAATAACTTTTTATAATAATTTTTCAAAAGAAATGCGTTTAAACAAAATTGTACGACCCAAAATGTTTTATGTGGAGTAACTAATGTGTTGCGAAGATGCTTATAGTAGCGTTTTTGATATTCGCTGTAAAATTAATTCACTGCGTTGTTCACATCACGAGGACTAATGCGCAGTATAATGCAATGATATATAGCGTGCTGCGAAAATCGAGTTTCGGGTCGAGTGTCGCTGTTAAGCAGAAAACAGAGTAACACCGAAGCGGATGGTAAATGCCAGAGCACACCAGCATCAGAGTAATTACCGGTTTTTAAGTGGAGGAAACGAGGGGCGAGTCCGACGACGAGGGTCGAAAGAAGAGGGACTGGTAGGAGGGTCGAAGGGGTGCGTCCAGCCGTTATATACAGTATACCCTGGTGTGAAAGGGAAGCGCGTGCGTCTTATCGCCCATCGAATGTAAAGCTGATATTTTATTATTGTAAGATCGACACAGAGCGTGACTTGTCAGTGCGTAAAACTATAGGTATCATTATTGAAACGTAATGGAAAGGCATTTTAAACGTAAATAAGTCCCTGCGATTATTCGATATGATGGTTTCAGATATTTTCCATTTTATTGCTTTAATCTTGATTTCCATTTTCCTAGAAATGAATGAGTTATATACAGCGATAGATACAACTCAAATGCGTGAAACTTGCTTATACACTTATGAATACTTCAGAAATAATATACATTAGAAAATAATATACATTAGAAAACATCAGAAATATAGAAATGATTATTGTATTTTGCAATTATAAATAAAGTAGGAAAGATTCATTAATTAGAACAGTAAAAAGTTCTATATTACACTTTTTGCAGTATTATATAATTAAAGTACAATCAATAGAATGTAAATATAAAAAGTAACACGTGTAAAAAAAAAGATTATCTCTCTCTCAATTATACATTTTATTTTAATTAAACTTTCTTTCGAAATATTTTTCTATTTGCAACTTTAAATCGTGAATTTTTCTACACATAATCTTTCTTTCTGTATACTTTTCATATTTATCTCTTTATTTCTAGCTATTCTATATGTAATTATATTTTACCTATTCAATCTTTTTAATTTTAAATTTTATGAATTTCATAGTGCACAGACCTATTATGTATTCAAGTCCTTAATATCCGCCATTATCAACACTAAAGTCTTTACATTATAAAAGCGCGCCGTCAAAACGTTTGTGCAGTGATAATCGCAGTCGAATTGTCGCTGTTTAAATTGCCGTCTCTGGCGCTTATGCGCTGGTTACCTCTTGTGCCGTGCATTTCTCCGTCTAATTAATTGGCCAGAAACTTTCGGGCCATGCCCGCCAACCTTCTCTAATTATTCGTTCCTTTCATTCCCGCGGGAGGAGGAGGAAGGAGTAGGAGATTGGGACACGAAGGAGAGAAGGAACTGCTGGACAACAAAACGAAACAGGGGACAACTTACTTCCATCGAGTTACAAAGCACAAGCAACAGCCGGGCCTATTCGCACCAGCTTATTAAGCGAAAATAAAGCCCGCAAAATCAAAAAGCATTTCCCACACCCTTTCGGCTCCTTGCATTTATTCGTGACTTTCTTTCTCTCTCCCTCTTCCTCTGAATTTTTGTGAATCTGCTCCCTTCTAGAGCAGAAGTCTCTTCTTCCATCCGTGTCCTGAATAGTTTGAAGTCCGCTGACAATTAAGAGTTTTATTCTTTCTTCCTTCCACCGACGAACTCGTTATGAACACGTCGAGCTGGGTAAGTCCGTTTCATCGCCGAAAGGAAAGGCCGAAAATTGAGATTTTAGCGTTCGGAGATTAACAGAAGTATCTTCTTATTGTTAGTCCGAATTACACATACGATGATTAATTAATAAAGATTCTTACACTAATAGTAAGTGCTGAATCATAAAATATAAAGAATCTTTCTGATTTCTTTAGGGAGATAATCTATTTAGTCGAAGAACATTAAGGATGCAAATAATATTTTACCAGCAAAATCAGTCTACGTTGCAAGATTCGCGAGCTCCATGAGTTATCGTTATAGATTAATCGAAATGTGCCGTCGATAGATTTAAATTTCTTTCGTCGTGATATAAACGGGGTATTTCTCGGGTAGGTGGAGATCGTTTAAGGGTTGGGCGCAACGGAGATGGCGAGTGGAGGAGACCGAATGGAGAGATAGAAGGGACCGTCCGGGAACTGGAGCGGTTGAATCCCTCAGCGCCACGTCGTAGCTCATATCTGCCGCAAGGGGACGCGAATCCTGTATGCAGGGGTTGAGGTATGGGGTTACTCTGCGGGTTGTAAATTAATGGTTAGCCCGTGGCATGGTGGGGTTCGGCCTAAGGGTTCTGGTTGATCTATGGGCGGCATGTGTGCCAGGTCAAACGGGCCTTGCCCACTGATACGGGAGCGAAAATATCTCTCTCTCTCTCTCTCTCTCTCTCTTCTTTTACCATATTCTGTCTTGCTCTTGCTTTGTCATCCTCTTTCTACTGGTTGCGCTGGAGTATAAAATCGATAACATTTTTGATAAAACTGCTCGCAACGAATAAAAGCAAGACTACCAGTGGATATACAAAAACAAGTATTTGAACGAAGAAATAATTAGATAATTTAATGTGTATGTTCTACATCAACATTGCATATACTTATAATTATGAAAATTCGTTAAAGATAATTTATCATCCAAACGGTTGATTGTATCTTATGTCTCAAAGATTTTTTTTTTTAAATGATGCTTAATAAGATCGATCATTTTCATTATGCAATAAATGAAATGGTTAATGATTTTATATTAAATTTAATTTTTAAAGATTTTAAAGTTTTAGAGCAGAAATTTCTGATATAATAGTTTTACTTCCTTCTTCTTTCAAGTTCTGCAATGAAGTTGATTATTTCAATTTTAGAATATGTTCTCTGTCGCTTAAAAGCTATTATTGTTCGCTGAGTTGACTGCCATTGCATTTACATTAATTTTTATATGCGCTTTTGGAATATAAAAGTAACGCGATGCAGTCGAGTCAATCGCCCTTTTACGAGCTTTCCAAATGGTCGCAATACCAATGAAATTCTGATTGCAATCGATGTATAATAGCGAATATTCGGATGTAGTTAGGTTTCTATTCTTGAAATTGCGCTTTAAAAAAGTGCAATGTGCATTAGAAAGTAATAACTTTTTATTTTTTATTTCTCATTTTATTGATCGTTTTTAACACAATACTAAAATTATAAAACCATATTTTGTGCAAACTGGATATACATTTAATCTTGTGTAGAATTCCGTAAACCACTATCAAAGAGAGAAAGAGAGAGAGAGAGAGAACGCTTGTTTTTTAAAGTTAAACAATACATTTATTCTAATATTCTGCTTGATTGTTCCATTAATTTTTTTATTTTGACCTTTATGCGATACGTTAGAATTTTGTCGGTGCGCGTAATAGTTAAAAACTTTTTAAATAAATACGACGTTTATGTTTAGCAAGATATGTTTACATTTTGAAGGATTCGCTTGTACAAGATTGCTTCCAGACTGTTAAGATACTTCTATACAATCGTTATTCCTCATTAAATGTATCGAAATTCTCATTTCTGGCGATTTTGCTTCTTTTAAGGAAGACGAGCACAGACCCTCTTCCCTATCGACAGTCTCATTTCCTGCCTCAAACTTATCAAGACAAATACACTTTGAGCACGCTCCCTCGAACGCCTCTTGCCGTTCATCCATTGGAAAATATCTCTAATGAACAAACTATCCGATTTGAGCCCGCGCTGCACCATTTCGACACATCTTCTCCTCTCTTGGCCTTCCTCTCGCCATGCGAGAAAGTTGCTGCCTTCGATAGCTAATCTCAATTTCGTCACGATATATTTGTTACGAGCTTTCATCAAGACCTTTCACCTTCCCTTTCAGTTCCACGCTTACTTGAATACACTTCGATACGTGTAAAATATATTTCTGTGGTATAATAAATTATTATTTTTGATTGAAATTTGTAGATATCAAATTATATAAAGATAATTGATAGAAGTTGAAAAGAAGTAAAAAATTAAGTAAACATCACATATCTTAATAGGATTTCTGTTAATAAGAGAAATCTGTTTTTAATCGAATGTGAAATTTATTAAATAACATGGAAAAAGAATAGACTTAAATTGTTTAAGAGAAATATTGTTTTGAATTGAAAAATTAAAATTGAAAAATTGGACCCCATATTCTTAGAATATTAATTATCCTCGTTTTGATCGAAAAGTCTGACTTTTCTTATCTCGTCTATTTTTATTCTTTATTTTAGTTCTTAATTATAAGAAAGCATATAAAATAAGATTGACAGGCCTGATAAAAGATGATGGCGTGTATAGAAGGCGAAGGAGACTATCTTTCCGACGGGGCAATCTGTTAATTCGATCGTAA